GCCAAGGTGATGACATCATATTCAACGTGTTATAACGGGAATCGGAGTAATTAAATAAATAACTGTTTCTAAGACATCCTTTGGTCTAAAGTAATGATAATATATCATATGATAATATCCTGTGTGTAATTGCCAGTCTGAGTTATATTGAACGTATTAGTTGGATGTATACTTAAAAATGGATAGATCCTACAGGCTAAAAACCTTCACCTTCGGTGGGCTTTCTTAAGAATGTTAAGGAGACAGTAAAATATCTTATCGCCACTTGTGGATCTAATACTATTGACATTTAACCGTTTTGGGCGATGCTCGGCAAAAGGGGGCTTACTTCTCATCTTGCTGACCAAAGCGTGACACCCCATCCTCGATGTGCCCTGTCAGAACAGGAGGCCTTCCTGACATGCTGTGGAGAGCGCAGGACCTCAAATCTGCAGACGCACTGCTTGGAAAACACAGACCTGGACTCTATTGGGGCTCGGGCTCCATGGCGGGGCTTCCCAGGTCTCTCCTTCCAAGTGTATAGGTTAGGTGGCACTCAAGACTTACCTGCAGCAGGGCTGACATAGAGATGTTCTCTTGATATGCCTGATGGCTATGCCTAAATCTGATACATCCTCCTACGGAGCCCTATCTGTCTATTACCTATCTTATTCTGTTTCTTGAACTTGCCCACAGTTCTATAGTTGTAAAGCTTCCAAACTCACTCTGTTTTACCAATATTAGAGCTGTGCCTTATCGGTCCTCTCTCCTTTTATTATAAATAATTGCAGCACCATTGACATTTCTTATCCTGCTAGCTTTTTAACATTACTATGTATACTCCTGTGAAATGTTTGAACCACCAAGTCTGTTAAACTATGCACTGCCTAAAAAAAAGAATATAAAAAATTTTAAAAAAGGAATTTCTCAAATATAAACCTAAAAAGACAGAAGAAAAACTGGAACAAGATCTGTGATTATAGCTCTGATAACAACAACGTTAGGGGCAGAAACATTGGCTCCTGTTTTAAAAGGTATTTTACTAGACCAACATTTATTAATAGAGGAGTAAAAAACATAAAAATTATATTAGCAAAAAGCAACCTAAAAACTAAAGATAATATAAGAATGTGGACTATGTACCTTTTTTTACATTTGTCTTTTTTTTTTAATCTTTGCCTTATATGAGATGTCATCTGTAGGAATATGGATTATATTC